TACGCCTAATTACTACTTATAACAAAGGAATATCTGACCAGTAACATCAACGGTTGCAGACTGTCGGGCTTCACCAAGTGTATTTACAGCGACAATTGTATATTCGCCCTTGTCGAACACTGTCACCGGGTTGATCTCCAACGCTGCATAGCCAGCATCAGCTACCGTGGACAACCGGGAACTCGCCAAGACAGCCTAAAATTGTGAAAAAAAATTAGTCGCGGAGAAACAAAAGTTGAAAATGCTTAAAATCACAAGAAAATTTTGCCCGAACTGACGGGGAAATGAAAAAAACGTACTGTTTGAAAGCTTATGATAACTAATCACTGGATGAAAATTGATTCATGAAGTGAATAGGGTTCACTCAGAAATTTGAAAATATTGGGTACCTTTCCATTCAAAAGCCAAGCTATTTTCAAATTTGGATCATCTGCTGGTGAATATTTGCAGTCCAGAAGGGCAGTCTGTCCCTCAATCAAGTTCAAGTTTTTCACTGTATCCAAAAATTTCGGTGGTTGCTTGGAGGCTGCTCGAATTTCACCCCCATTTTCCTCGATTTTGGCTCCATATCTGAAACAAATAACACAGCCGTACTGAGTAACAAAGGGGGGAAATTGCTTCCATGCTTAAAAATTCTTGGATATTTCGTAATTTTATCAAAATTCCCATAAATTACCTGGCAACGCGACGATCAACCTTCCGCAGCGGAATCTGATCACGTTCCGCTGAATCCAGTTTTTGACGAGATTGGACAACAACGCGCCCCTGGAAGTAGACATCTGCTATGCATGCATACTACTAAACGTAACCACGTAGCGAAACAACAGTCCGGAAGTGGCTCATCACAGTTCTATTGGGCTTATGAACAATTTTTTCAGGCAATGGACAACAAAAGAGGACAACAAACACTTTAGGTTGCTTGTCGGGAACTAATAATCTTTTAAAAACATGCACATTATATCAGCTTATTCTAGATAAGTAAAGGAGAATCAAATTTACGGAGATAAAACAATCAAAAAGACCCTTCCCCACTGTTGAATTATCCTCATGGATGATGGAATCTTGGAATTTTCAGACTTATTATCCTAGCAAAGTCTAAGCAATAAGAATTGAACATGTGATTTAATTTTTCTGCTCTTTCTGTATCAAATTTTTTTTAGCAGTTTGGAGATAAAACGAAAAAAAGGCATAAAAAATGTAGTTAGATTCAGCTCCCCCCTCCGCCCCTCCTCCCCTCCCCACAGTTCCAAAAGTTTTTTGGTACTCAAAAAACTTATCAAAAAAAATGCAAGGATTAAGGGCTAACATATCAAGAAATAAACGAAAAAATTCAAAAATCCACGAGCAAAAATTTACTTTCATGGAAGAAGTTCCAGACTGATTAGTAGCATCACACTGGTACCAGCCACCATCACTCATTTTGGCATTCAGAATCTGTAATGTCGTTTCACCACTTCCTTTTTCCTCGACTCTGAAATTTTTCAAAAGAAAATGAATATCCTGCAAAAAATATAGGAAATTTCAAAAAAGTGGGAGTAGATATACGGGCGAGTTCCTAAAAAAGATACGAACTGCAATCAGTATCATGGATTTACAGGTAAGGATGAGGGAACGACGACAGCTGACCGGATTTTGGGAAGATTACCAGCATCCTCAGGAATTTCTCTGAAATTATGTGGATGTGACGAGCTCAGAAGCGATGAGGCGCACCGGTATTCGAAGCGAGAATGAACACAGCGAGCATCATTACTATAATTCAGTCGGGGAAAG